CTAGTTAATCTGGGTAGGCAAAACAAGAAATACAGCCACAGAATAGTGGTGCCTTTAACTTTCTGGATTTTTTTTTTCTTTAGGCGAGGAATAAGAATAAGTGAACAATGAATAATTTTACCATTAAATAAAAAGGGTTATTTATTGATCTAAGACTAGTCTTGATATTGATACTTTGTCATTCACAGCGTGTTGAACACTCCGACAAATATACAGGGTTACAACTTTTTAATTGTCCTATGAAGGTATGTTTCTTATTTTAAGAGTTGCAGAAACGGTTAAATAAGCAAAAATGTGCAAAATTTTATGGCGATCACTGGATTGTTTTTAAATATAGAAAATTCCGAATAGTTCCGAAGATATTCAAAGAAAACCGATATTATGCTATTTCTTTTTTTTGGTCGTATGTATTTCACTTGTTTTTCAAAATTTTAAGACAAAAATGTGTAGTCTGATATTAACTGATGCGAGGAATCGATATTAACATTAGTACCATCTTTTATTTATTTCGTATTAAAAAAAAAAACATTATTTCATGTGCAAATGTTTTAGGCCAGGAAGATAAGCTGGGAAATGACCATTTCGCGACTTTTTGTTTTGGCAAGCTGAATTTATCACTATAGATGCTAAATATTATGTACAATAACATATTAGTTTTCACAGTCATAAAAATGGGGGAAGATTGTTTACAGGGTGGTTAATTGTATAATTTTTACGTAAATTCACGTTTTTCGCTTATAACTTTTTTTCCGTTCATTTCCACGAGAAAACAGTAGGTAAAGTACTTTTTTTCGTCTTCAAAAGACCTACAAATCTAGCCCTCGAGTGTCAAAAAATATTGATTAAATCAAAAGTTATAAACAGAAGAAGTTTATTTATGACTTTTGAATTAAACAATTATAAACTGCGATATTATTACCAGAACGTTTTGGCATCGCATCCTCTCATTTCTTATCACTGTCTAATAATTCACAACGTATTATTATGAAATCTACCTTTAAAAAAATCAGTGCGATTGTGGAAGATCCTCGGGATAGTCCAGACTAATAATTAGTTAATTTGTTTATAAGGCCATAACTTGTAAACTATTCAACTTNATTTTACCATTAAATAAAAAGGGTTATTTATTGATCTAAGACTAGTCTTGATATTGATACTTTGTCATTCACAGCGTGTTGAACACTCCGACAAATATACAGGGTTACAACTTTTTAATTGTCCTATGAAGGTATGTTTCTTATTTTAAGAGTTGCAGAAACGGTTAAATAAGCAAAAATGTGCAAAATTTTATGGCGATCACTGGATTGTTTTTAAATATAGAAAATTCCGGATAGTTCCGAAGATATTCAAAGAAAACCGATTTTATGCTATTTCTTTTTTTTTGGTCGTATGTATTTCACTTGTTTTTCAAAATTTTACGACAAAAATGTGTAGTCTGATATTAACTGATGTGAGGAATCGATATTAACATTAGTACCATCTTTTATTTATTTCGTATTAAAAAAAACATTATTTCATGTGCAAATGTTGTTTTAGGCCAGGAAGATATGCTGGGAAATGACAATTTCGCGACTTTTTGTTTTGGCAAGCTGAATTTATCACTATAGATGCCAAATATTATGTACAATAACATATTAGTTTCCACAATCATAAAAATGGGGGGAAGATTGTTTACAGGGTGGTTAATTATATAATTTTTATGTAAATTCATGTTTTTCGCTTATAACTTTTTTCCGTTCATTTCCACGAGAGAATAGTAAAGTACTTTTCTTCGTCTTCAAAAGACCTACAATTCTAGCCCTCGAGCCTAAAAAAATATTGATTAAATCAAAAGTTATAAACAGAAGAAATTTATTTGTGACTTTTGAATTAAACATTTATAAACTGCGTTATTATTACCAGAACGTTTTGGCATCGCATCCTCTCATTACTTATCACTGTCTAATAACTCACACGAAATCTGGAATTGGTAAGTTGAATAGTTTAAAAGTTATGGCCTTATAAACAAATGAACTAATTATTAGCCTGGACGATCCCGAGGATCTTCCACAATTGCACTGATTTTTTTCAAGGTAGATTTCATAATAATACGTTGAAATCTATTATTATTTTTTTATTTTAAATTTGCAACCTGGAATTTTTTTATATTTTTTAGCCTTAGTTGCAAAATGAAATATACGACGCACGAGCGTGATATAGCTCAGTGGGTCGCTTGATTTTCGGCGAGCCGTGGCGCGGCGGAAGGGTGGGGGAAGCGAACGACAGTGAGTCCGAAGAAAATGACGATAATATTCATCGTCCTGCCGTTAAATAAGGGAAATTCGTTTGAAAATAATATATTTGACAGTCCTCCGTTGTTTTTCAACGAATCTTGTTCTTTTCATAAGCTTTCCGAATATGTAATAATATATAACTATATCACGCTCGTGCGTCGTATATTTCATTTTGCAACTAAGGCTAAAAAATAAAAAAAAATCCAGGTTGCAAACCTGAAATTAAAAAAAAATTATAGATTTCAATGTATTATGAAATCTAACATGAAAAAAATCAGTTATAAATAAATTTCTTCTGTTTATAACTTTTGATCTAATCAATATTTTTTGACGCTCGAGGGCTAGTTTTGTAGGTTCTTGAAGACGAAAAAAAAGTACTGTTTTCTCGTGGAAATGAAGAAAAAGTTATAAGCGAAAAACGTGAATTTACGTAAAAATTATACAATTAACCACCCTGTAAACAATCTTCCCCCCATTTTTATGACTGTGGAATATATGTTATTGCACATAATATTTAGCATCTATAGTGATAAATTCAGCTTGCCGAAACAAAATGTCGCGTCCAACTCAATATTTCCTGGACTATTTATAAAGTATAATATCTTAATAACGCTTATAATAACCGTCTTCAAAAATAAAAATTGCCATCTTTCTAACAATCAATCGTTGTGTTGCTACCGAAAAAGAGTTAATTTCCTAATCAGAAAAATAATTTATTTTCAAATCAATGTCGCGCAATTTATATTTATATTATACACTCCGTACGATATTTGTTGAGATATGATTCCAAGAAGACCCCTGCGCCACATTCTTGGAATTAACCGCTTTCGACAACAAAGGTAGAAAGACATTGCGGGAAAATCTCAAGAACCTTTATCTTTTCTTGGAATTCTATGTCAACAAATATTGTACGACCTGTATTAGGTCACGTGACTCAGGGTAAATCGCTGTCGCTTTTGTAGTTCATCTTGCAACAGCTACAATGCATAAAAAATCGGTTTTGGCTCCATCCATCTACTGCCAAATTTATGGGCTTACTGTACATACTTCACAAAAACCAGAAAACAAAAAAATATATATAATTGCTAGGTAGGTACCTTATATATTTATTTACAACTCAATATAAGTTTATTTTTATACTAAAATATAAAGGTCACTGAAGTGCAGATAATACTAAAAAAATATCTCTGAACCCTATAACCTTTTAAGACAACAAAGGTAATTTTATGTTCACATAAAGAAGTATGGTTATGGTAGTTTCGTTTCTGAACATCCTGTATACGTATATTTAGCCATTTAGTTATCTATAAATTCTAGACATTCTGTATAAGCATATTTTGTTATTTAGTTATTTGCAATTTCTGTAGTTGATAGGTACCTACCTGTTGTTTGTCAATTTGATATTTATCTACAAATACAGATTAACAGTTACCAATAATCTATTGGAAAGAAAAACAAACCAAGATATTTTTGTATTAATCCCTGCAGTTGTGCAAGTTTGGTTGCCTAACATTCGATACAGAACTTTGAACATTCAACTCTGAAATCGAAAACCGTGGAAAACAAAAAATATTTCTTTTTTTTAATCAATTTTTAAATAAAGATAAAAAACGGAGTGGAACAAACACTATTTAATAATACTGCTTTAGTTTGCATACCTAGCAACAAACTTGTTTCAAATTTGATCGAATTTTCTAAAAAAATATTTCAAAACATGAGAGCATGAGAGTAATAATTTTCATACACACCATTGAAATGAAATGCTTTTCTTCGATGGCTCTTTGTCACAACACGACACAACGTTCTGCCACGCTAACACAGGGCTAACATACTCTGTCAGTGTAAACTTAATTCAAAAAAGGAAAAACCTTTGTGTGTAATAATCTTTTTATTACACACAGAACTATTAAAACAGATTTCCATGAAATCCATGTGAACCAAAAGGACAGCTAAGCTTACAATACCAACGATTAGGATAAAATTCACATTTTTCTTTTGTTCAATCAAGTTCTCATTATTGTTGATGCATAACCAACTAAATTAAAGAACTTGGGCCACACACCCCGACGTGATCTAAAATTTGGCTGATGACCATATTTTAACATGTATATTATATTATACAATATATACATGCTGTATAATATTTAAATCCTTTAATGTTTAATGAAAAGTACCTACCATGATAGGTACCATGCCTTAACATTATAGCTTTTAAAGGTATATGTTATTATATAGTAGTAGCTCACCATGTTAAATAATATTTTGGAAATGGATAATAGTATTATTGGTTTGATAATATGAAATTAAACTGAAAACCTGAAATACTTACTGGACAGTAGTGTATAATAAATGGAAGAAATTCGGCGTCTGGAGTTGCCGAAATCCATATGATTTGTACAAGCTTCGGCTATTGGGAACACTATTTGAAATAACGAAATAGTAATAAATACAATAACCAAGTATCTTACACAATAATGTCATATAAAGTTATATAAATGTTTTAAAGAATTAAATTTGTACTAGGGAAACCGATCAATTAATAAAATTCACGAATTTTAATTTTGCAAATTCAAATTCACTGTCGATAGAAACTGTTTTAACCGGTACATCCAACCTTCCGCAGTAATTTATCCCCAAAAATTTGACTTTACTAGGCCCATTTTTTTAGAAGAAGAAGTTGACTGTGTCAACAATTGTCAAATTCGAATTTGTTTTTTTGACATTTTTAATTTATACGCTTTTTTATATCACTTCGTATTTATATTTACCAATACCAAAATAATATTAAGTTTTTTTCAGTTACAAGTATGGTTGAAAACAAAGAAAATTGTATTATGACTGACCATTATAATCGAATTCAGGTAGATAATATATGTGTTCAGAACAGCCTTGTTTAAATATATGTTTGATAACAATATCTATGTTTTCTTTTTTTATTTCAGGGCGCTATAATAAAAACTCAACATAAGAACTATTTTGTATATAAAGGAGTGAATACTGTTGGAAGAAATAAGAGTGCCATAATTAATTTAAAAAACTTGGTAAGTGTTCATAAATATGTCTGCAGTGCTCTTTGCTAGATATTATATTACTTATTCGGATATCTAGTTCGAAAAGCTTTACTTCCTAAAACTAAGATAAGAGCATGGAAAAGCTTCTGTGCTTAGTAAAATCTATTATTGCTCATTGTGTAGCGTTACTGTTGTGTATACTTATTACATTTGCACTAGATCATTCTATTTAACTTTATCATTTCAAATTAGTCATAATTGCTGCAAAACCAAACATTGAAATCTACTACTAAAAATAAGGTTTTCGTAGTTATTTTAGCGTATTAAAGATAAAATAAATTTCAGATAAACATAACGCTAAGTTACGATAGAGTTTTATATAAATTAAAAATAAAAAACTAATGTTCATTGTAATATGTTTCAGAATGTGAGTCAAAACCATGCTGTAATAATAATCGTGGATGATGCTCAGCATTTTATTAGTGATTTAAATTCTTCCAATGGGACATATTTACTTGGTACAAAACTATCACCATATAAATTATATGAACTTGTGAATGATGTGGAAATTAAGTTTGGAGATGTTTCTGCATCTTATTGTAGAGTAAGTAACTTAACACGTTGACTGCGGTACATACCTCGGGGGGTATGTACTCATTATAAAAAATATGCGAATCTCAATAATCACATTTTTACTGTATCTTGTGGAAGTTGCAGAATCTGTACTTTTTAAAAATAATGATTTTTCTATTATTTTCTTTTCAAAATTTTTTGTGAATGAAAACGTTAGTATCCTAGGATATATAGTTACAGATACATGCAAGTTTATAGCAATAATTGTGTTATTTTTAATTTTATAGGGTCAAATGTAAAAAAAATTACATATCCCCAGGGATATGTACCGCACACAGAAGAAGTTTTGTTACATATCCCCGAAGATATGTATCGCAGTCACGGACAAGGTACGTTGAGATTATCTCGCAGTCAACGTGTTAATAATCAGGGATGTACTTATTAATCCATTTCACTCAATAAGAAATTTTTTACATAAAATATGGTTAATAACTATTTTTTAACTATTTCAGTTATACATTTGACAAAAAATTGCGTACTTTTTTTATTTCACTGCATATTTGAGACTGCATAAATATTTTCCCCTTTCTTTTGTAATAAAACAGACATGATTCGAAACATAAGTATAATATTGATTAATGTTGTAGGTATGTAACATGGATACTACTGTACATTTAAGAAGGGAAAGCACTGACATGACTCAAAACATAACTCAAAATTTTTATGAAGCAGGCACTCAGTTGATGATAAATGAGTCGTCTTTAAACAAATCAGGACCAGACAACAAAACACACAGATTTTGTTCAGATTCAATTTCTGATAATGATATTCATGAAGTTGCAACCCAAGTTGTTGATTACCAACTAGCATCTACTTCAGCAACAGTGCCAGACGAACCCATAGGAAAATGTCAGTCAGACTCTTTAGAAAATGGACAATTAAATAAGCAACGAGAAGTGGATATCCATGAAATGCCGACACATGTTGACGATTTACCCCAAGAATTAACAAAAGTGGAAAAACGACATGAAATGGATATACATGAAATGCCAACACAAGTTGTCGATTTGCCTCTAGAACTTAGAAAACTAAAAGAACAAGAAATGGATATACACGAAATGCCAACGCAAGTCATCGATTTGCCTCGAAATCTTAACAGTGTAGAGAAATGTCAGGAAGTGAATTTGCATGAAATGCAAACGGAAGTTGTTAATATGCCTCAAGGACTTGAATTAAGTGAAAAGAGCAGTGATTCATGCACTCAAATAGATGATATTCATAATTCAGAAGAGTTAATTCAGTCACGTGCAGAAACCAATAGCGATACAGAAGGTAACGAACTATTTGTTCAAAAGACCTCTAATATGAGTACTGTAGAAGAAACGGTAATAGAAGAAACAGTAATAGATGAAAATCATCTAGAAAAGGATATAGAAGAGGAGAGTAATGAATCAATTGATTTTTTGGCAACACAGAAACCTGTTTCAAATGAATATATATTTAATAAAGAGGTAAATTCGGCAAATGACAATGACTCTGTTTTCTCAGATTCACAGGGAATTGGAATACCTAGAAAGCGACCGTTACGCAAATTAAGTTCATCAGAAGATTTATCGCAGCCACATGAGAACAAAATTATATATAATTCTGATTCTGACACAGACATAGAGAAGGAAATAGATATTCGCATTAATAATCAAAAACTACCTATAAAAGAAGCAGATCTCTCGGGTTCGGATACTGAAATCGAAGATGACTTGCCAAGGCAAATTAAAAAGCACAGTAAAGTTTTGAATTCCGATTCAGAGACAGACATAGAGGAACATGTAAGTTATAAGGACATTTCAACGCAGTCCCAGGATATTATTAAACCTAAAATTTTAAATAAACGTTTATTGGACTCTGATTCAGAAACTGATATAGAGGACAATAAGGAAAACGACATAATTTTAAAACAGACCCACGATAAAACCAATAATGATACTTTAAATGACACCGACTGCATTCCAGCAACACAAGATGCTTTTGCCGACATGTTTGCATACAAAAATTCAAAAGTGTCGTCAAATGCGAATAGTCAGAACGAATCTTCGGAGGAGAGTTTTAAACTTGGATTGACGGAATTGATGGTTGAAAGTGTTGAAAATAAAAAAGAAAATGATATTCATGAAGACAAAACGAATGATCTTGTTAATGAAGAAAGCATAAGCAATGTCAAAAACGATAATGACAATGATAAAAAATTGGGAAATAACGAGGAACATACATTAAGTAACAGCGGTGATGTCTCAAACAGTATCGAAAACAAAATAGGTGAAGATTTATATCTGAACCCAACGCAAAAAATTTGTACAGATCCTAAACCAGAATTTAATCAACTGAACGAACATCATGTAGAAGCGCTAAGTGTGAATCAAGCTAAAACATCAGTTATTTCAGACACAGCTCAAGAAACAAATGAAACAGAAGATGACATCTATTTAATGCCAACACAAAAACTAAATGAGAATGAAGTAGACAATAAGCCTACTTCCTGTACCTCAAAAAATATTAATATGGAGGCAGATGAAGATTTTTATATGATGCCAACACAAAAACAAAACAACAATCAACCAGAATTCAAAACACCACAGAAAAAGTATACCTTTAAGAAAAAAAAGGTGAAACTAGATGGGTCTCTGTCGAGTATTTTCAGTAAAAGTCAAGATGACCTCTATTCAGCACCTGTTCAGAAAATAAATGAAGAGGGAGCCGAAACTGAAGACATTTATCTACAACCAACACAGAAATTAAATGAAGAACAAAAGCAACGTGACCCGTATTTGCAACCAACCCAGGATTTAAACATGGCAGCACATAAAGATGAAGACCTTTACATGGCACCCACACAGAAATTAAATGAAGAACAAAAGCAATGTAACTTGTATTTGCAACCGACCCAGGATTTAAACTCCACAGCTCACAAAGATGAAGACCTTTTTGGGGAACCCACACAGAAATTAAATGAAGAACAAAAGCAACGTAATTTGTATTTGCAAGAAACCCAGGATTTAAGTTTAGCGACAGCACACAAAGATGAAGACCTTTATCTGGCACCTACCCAACAAGTAAATATAAATGTTGGAGAAAATAATACGGCTCAAGATAAAGCTGCAACGGATTCATCATTGCAAGAAAATCAGCATGTAGATGTTACTACAGACACAGTAAAGAAAAGAGTAGAGAAAATTAATGAGGATCTGTATATGGCAGCAACTCAACCAGTAAATCCAAGTCCAATCATTGAAAAAACTGATAAAATTTCTCCGAGTAAATCAATATTGGATTTGTATTTGCAAGAAACGCAGGATCTTAGTCCTACTAAAAATACAGAATCAAATAAAAATAAATTAGAGACAAGTAGTACAACAATGAAGCAGACAAATAAATTTGAAGACAAAAATGAAACTTCTCAAGATAGATCCAATTTAAATTTACAAACAATTAAAGACACCAATCTGGATGCAGGTACAAGTCTAAAGACTTCAGGAAAACACAATGAGGATCTTTATTTAGCCGAGACCCAACCAGTAAATCCAAATATAGTGGTTAAAAAATTGAATAAGCCCCTAAATGATCTATATGTACAAGAAACTGAAGATATTGGCCTTACTAAAAATTTAGAAGCAAATAAAGATGAGAATAATGAGGATCCCTACATGATTCCGACACAGCAGATTAACCAAGATTTAGTAGAAAACAGTAGCAGTGCTAATAAAGATAACTTTAAAGCATCTGATCTACCAAAGGCTGTTGTGAGTAAAACTCGTTTAAGAACAAAACGGCAGATACAGTCAGATACAAACACCTCGGAACTAAGTAAAAAGAGAAAATTAACCGATGTTGAAATGGAAAAGTTAAATCAGGTCGATGCAGTTATCAAGGAGCCTTTATCTACTTTGAAAAAACCAAACAAATATCAAGGAAGCCCATCTGTTCCAATTCCCAAAGAAAAAGCTACCAAAACGGTTACGGATCAAAGCGAGACTTTAAGTCAAATACAAAGATTCGTGGCAGAAACTTCCAAAGACTCCAAAAAAACAAAAGTAAAAACACTTCCTAAGAAAAGAAGTTCTGCAGAAGCACAAATCGAGGTTCAGTCTGAGACTTTGAGTCAGATTGAAGCATTTATCAAGAAACCTTTAAGTACTGTTAAAGAAAATACTGATACGCCATCTAAAAGAAAGAAAAGAGGCAAAGTTTCTGATAAAACAAAACAAGTTCATGAAGAATTTCAAAAACCCGAAACAAGTCTCGCGTCTAGAAGAACCAGATCAACAAGTCATCCAAAGACTCATGTGTCCAAAGAGGAGTGTGAAACTTTTATTAATCCAGAATTCGACTTAAGTACAAGCAGTGACAAGAGTGAACGGGAGACCGTGAAAAGTGATGTTGAAAAGAGTTTTGCATTATTAGAGGCGAAATCTACAAAAACGAGAAAAAGCCAGAGGGTAATAAATTCTTCTGAAGTAAAGGTGTCGGTATGTAAGAATCGCAGGAGCATGGCTACGTGTGCAGTGCCTGAAACTTCCAAATCTAGAATTGAAAACATACAAAGTCCTCCCAATTTTACTTCGCCAGAGGTTAGCATTAGATAACTTATAAATTAAAGGGATTTTATGTCACCTTTTATTTTGCAGAAAGGAAAAAGGAAACAAAAGCCCAAAATTGTATTCACGATGTTAGACAGTCCGCTTTTAGAAAGTTTAATAAGGCAAATGGGTATGTGTTATAACATAACAGGTTTTTTCGATATTTTATGTGAATTAAAGAATTCAGTGCTATCTATGTGATTCTTATAAGTTTATATCACGCACGCTCGCTATGGGACCTATAGTGTAGGGGGTTATGTGCACGGAAAGTTTCAGTGCACATAACCCCCTACGCTATAGATCCCATAATGACTTGCACTTGCGATAGAAAATAGTATGTGCAACTCGTTCGGAAAAGTTGCCATAGCGCCACTTGGGCGCTTCCCGCACTTGCTTCGCTTGTGCGTCAACTGGGCCCGCGTGGCGCTATTGGCAACTTTTCCTCTCTTACACAATGTACTATACTATAGAACACTATTTCTATTTCAGGTGGTACTGTAGTTGATAGTGTGGAATCTAGCACTGTACTAGTAACAGGACAAGTGAAAAGATCTCAAAAACTCCTTACTGCTGTAGGGCAAGGGAAACCAATTTGTTCACCGGATTGGATTCATGCTTCCAAGAAAGCAAATGAATTCCTTGGTAAGGTATACAAAGAAATACAGAATGATTGAAGATGACTTCATGCAAAAACATTATAGAAAACGTCAAAACTTTTCAAAAGTATTTTACTATTGTCAAAAATAGTATTGCAACATATTTTACATATATCTATTGGAAGTATACAGGGTGTCTCACGGTGACGGCCCATTAGAATTATTTCAGGCTACTTCGATTTGAATTTTGAAAATTTGGGATACCGGGTTTTCGGGCATGCTCTTCTCAACTAAAATAATGGCGCTCACGTACCACTTCCGGTTATACCGGAAGTCGCCATCAACTTGCTTATTTTAAATGGAACACTCTATATATTATTGCTATTTTGGATTCTATGTGTTATTTTAGGTGGACGTTTATGAAGTTTCCCTATTCCTAAAATTAACTGTTTTCGAGATATTTAATTTTTTTCAAAAAAATGGAAACGGTGACTAGCTTCAAACTGCGTGTATTTTATAGTATGAAAGATAAAGCAACAATATTTATAGGGGGGATAGCTAGACCCCTAAGCTTTCCATCCATACTTTCAAAGTGGCTTAATTGCATACAGGGTGCTAGAAATCTCAGATTTCGGTTGGAAAACATGCAATCTCAAATTAAGCTTGGAAATCATGCTAACTCAGATCTTTAGATGTGACTAGAAATTTAAGTTGGCACACTGAATGATTGAAACCGTGCATTTATAATAAACTTATACAGGGTGTTAAAAAAAGAGTGTAAAATATTTCAGGAGGTAATAGTATAAACCAAAATAAGCAGAAAAATCTTAATACATGGGTCCGCAAAGTAACGGTTGCGGAGATATGGACCACTATTCGTTTTTCAAACATTTTATTTTATTAGGAATAAACCGACAAAGGAAGCTTTTAATAAACAAAAATCAAAGTTACAGAAGATGTTCAAAGTGCCCTTCGTCCATTTCCAAACAGGCACGACATCTTCGTCTCAACGATATTCGAACTCTTTCGAAAACACCCTCCTTGGTTTGGATTTCTTGACACTTTTGATTAATCCGTAGCTGCAGCTCTTCCAGGCTATTTACAGAAGTACCATACACTAATGTCTTCAAATATCCCCAAACAAAGAAATCTAGAGGGTTCAGATCAGGCGATCTTGGAGGCCATAAAACAGGTCCGGCCCTTCCTACCCATCTATGTGGAAAAGTTTGGTGTAAATGCTCTCTAACGGCCATGGAAAAATGAGCTGGAGCACCATCATGCTGGAACCACATTTGTTGCCTCTGATTCAAAGGAATGTCTTCCAAAAACTCATACAGTGTGTTCTGCAGAAAGTTGAGGTAAGCAGCGCCTGTTAATCGGTTTGGTAAAACA